AGCAGTTTTAGTTTCACAGCAAATTAAGAGGAAAATATAGAGATTTCCCATATGCCCCCTGACCCCATACATGCATAGCCTCCTCTGTTATCAACATCCCCCACTAGAGTGGTACATTTGTTAAAATTGATGAAGCTGGGTTGACACATGACAATCACCCAAAGTTCATAGCTTGCATTAAAGGTCACTCTTAGTGGTATATATACTATGGCTGTGGTCCCTAATCCCCAGAGCTTTGGACCAGTACCAGTCTATGGCCTGTTAGGAATCGGGCCACACAGCAGGAAGTGAGCACTTCATCTGTACATACAGCCATTCTCCATCATTTGTATCACCACATAAGCTCTGACTCCTGTCGGAGATCAGCAGCAGCATTAGATTCTCATAGGAGCGTGAACTGTACTGTAAACTGTGCATGCAAGGGATCTAGGTTGTGTGCTCCTTATGAAAATCTAATGCCTGATGATCTGAGGTGGAGCTGAGATGGCGAAGCTAGCACTGGGCAGCAGCTGCAAATACAGATTATCATTAGCAGAGAGGTTTGACTGTACAATAAATGTAATGTGCTTGAATCATCCCCAAACCATCTGCCCTCCTCCCCCAGCCCTGGTATGTGGAAAATTTGTCTTCCATGAAACTGGTCTCTGGGGCCAGAAAGTTTGGGGACCACCACTCTAAGGCAATAAGCACATGAAAAGATGCTCCACATCATATGTCATCAGAGAAATGCAAATTAAAACAATGAGATACCACCACATACCTATTACAATGACCAAAATCTAACACTGATAACAATTAATACTGGAGAAGATGTGGAGTAACACCAATGCTGATGGGAATACAAAATGATACAGTCACTTTGTAAGGCAGTTGGGCAGTTTCTTAACAAAACTAAATATACTCTTACCATATGATATAGTAACTGTGCTCCCTGGTGTTCAGTCAAAAGTTTTAAAAATATGTTTGCACAAAAACCTGCATATGGATGTTTAGAGCAGCTTTATTAATAATTGCCAAGTAAGCAACCAAGATGTCCTTCTGTAGGTAAATGGATAAACAAACTGTGGTATATCCAGATAATGGAATGTTATTCAGTGCCAAAAAGAAATAAACTATTAAGCCACAATAAGACATGGAGTAAACTTAAATGCCTATTACTAAGTGAAAAAAGCCAATTTGAAAATACTACAAATTGTATATACTTTCTATCCATGAATATGTACCACATATGTAATATCTCTCCATTTATTTAGTTCTTCTTGGATTTCATTCCTCAGAGTTTTGTAGCTTTCCTCATATAGATCTTGTGCATATTTTGTTAGATTTAGACCTTGATATTTTATTTCTGGTAGTACTAATATAAATGTTATTATATTTTTAGCTTTAAATTCCACTTGTTAATTGCTGGTAATTGGGTTTTATACATTAACCTTGTGTCCTGCAACCAACTATATGATATTCTGAAGAAGGCAAACCTATGGTGACAGTAAAAAGATCACTAGTTGGCAGGAGTTTTTGGGTGGTTGGGCAAGGTTAAATAGGCAAAGCACAGGGGGCAGTGAAAATGCTCTATCTGGTATTATAATGATAAATACATGGCATTATACATTTGTCTAAACCCAGAGAACAGTTGTCCCCAAACTTTTGGGCACCAGGGACCAGTTTCATGGAAGACAAATTTTCCACAGACCGGGGCCAGGGGAGGAGGGCAGATGGTTTGGGGATGATTCAGGCACATTACATTTATTGTACAGTCAGACCTGTCTGCTAATGATAATCTGTATTTGCAGCTACTGCCCAGTGCTAGCTTCGCCATCTCAGCTCCACCTCAGATCATCAGGCATTAGGTTCTCATAAGAAGCACACAACCTAGATCCCTTGAATGCATAATTTACAGTACGGTTCACGCTCCTCTGAGAATCTAATGCCGCTGAGATCAAACATCTGACAAGATCTATCAAGAACAAAAGAGGAATAAATATTAAAATAAAATAATAAAATATTCTACCCTAAGTGAATTCATAAAACAAATGGCAAACCCTAGAAAAAACACATTTGATGAGTAAAGGACTAACAACCTTGGTGTAGAAGTTTTTTAATGTTATTGAAAAAAGGATAAGTATACTAGAAAATGGTCAATAATAGGGTAGTCAATTCACAGGGAAAAAAAAGTAACAAATATGGCTATAAAACTCTTTTAAAAAATCCAATCATACGAATTTATAGATATACAAAGAAAAATACCATGAGATAAGTATCAATTTTCTCTAACATAATGGTAAAAGTTTTAAATTTAGTAATATCCAGTATTGGCGAAGATGTGGTGAACACATATGGAAAAAGAGTTTGTAAAATTTGGTGTTTGCTTATGCTCTAAAAACAAAATAGGAAATCTTTTCAAATGAAATATATAGATGGAAACTTTTTAAACCAATATAGTATGATGGTTGAAAGTATGGACTCCATAGCCAGCCTGCCTGGGTTGAATCCTAATATTATCACTTGTTAGTGTGACTTTGGAGAGTTATTGAACTTCTCTAAACTTCAACTATTTCATGTGCTAAATGAGGACAATAACTTTCCTACTCATTAGATTGTTATCAGAATATAATTAGTTAATATTTGTAGATCACTTATAACAGTGCCTTACATACAGTAATTAGTATATAATTTGATTTTTAAATAAATAAACTCCATAAGAAAAGATAATTTCTAATAGCCATTCTATTAATTTGAAAATTTTCTGTTGCTGATCTAAGATAAAAATAATTGTAACACTGGGATTTGTAGTCTCTGGAGTTATGAGTTCTGAATAGGGTCCTTTAGTGGCCAACTAACCATCTGTAGAGTATAGATTGAAACAGAAACTTGTATATCACACTGGTTATACTGAAGTATTTTAAAGTTAATTGTAGGTGACAGGATACAGACTTACCTTATAGAAACTTTGTATTTGGCAGAGGTAACATTTGTCAATAGAGAGGGATTTCATAAATAGTATTATCTATAAATGAGAAACAAAACTATAATACTCCATATATGATATCTGAAAGTAAATTCTAGATGAAAATGACCAAAATGAGAATAACCAGATTTTAAAAATTTGAAAAAAAAAAAGGGGGGAGACTAACATGATCTGGGGGCAGGAAAGGGTTTACTACAATATAAAGAAAAGTTTTTCTTAAAAAACATATATTTGACTGCTATGCAGTAGAAAACTTACGTTTAGCAAAAGATTTCCTCTCCCACCACCAAAAAAAAAAATATAAAGACAAGCCACTAATTAGGAGGATATCTACAATGACCATTTGATGAAGGGTTAGCATTCAGAATATATCAAGAACTATTATAATTATCAAGTAAAAGATAAAATTCAACATTAAAATTGGACAAATTATTTTAATAAGCAATCCACAGAAGTGAAAACTTGAATGAATAGCCAATGAAATGTGAAAAAAATGCTTACTTTTATTAGTAATAAGAAAAATGGAAATAAAAACAAGTGTGCAAAACCATGAGATATATATATATATCAGATTGGTAAAAATTAAAACATCTGACACACTAAATTTAGATCAGCAATAGAAAAATTTCAAATTAGTAGAATGACTATTAGAAATTATCTTTTCTTGTAGAGTTTATTTATTTAAAAATCAGTTTCACAGTATTTGAAATTGAAGCCATAATTCCCTGTTGGTGGAAGTGAAAATGGGTACTGCTATGGAAAAAAAACGGGCAATATCTAATAGAATTGAAGATTTTACATATATATAAAAGGCATCCAACTGGAAACAGAAAACTATTAATTGGTTTGCATGGTTAATAAACTGAAATAAACAATTGATAAGTAAAAATAACTTTTTTTTTTTTGAGACAGGGTCTTGTTCTGTCTCCCAGGCTAGACTGCAGTAGCGTGATCATAGCTCACTGTAGCCTTTTAACTCCTGGGCTCGAGTGGTCCTCCCACCTCAGTCTCCTGAGTAGCTAGTAGTACAGGCGCACATCACCACACCTGGCTAATTATTTTTTTCTGTAGAGATAAGCTCTCATTATGTTGCCCAGGTTGCCCTCTAACTCCTGGCTTCAAGCAATCCTCCCTCTTCGGCCTCCCAAAGTGCTGGGATTATAGGTGTGAGCCAGTGTGCCCAGCCAAAATAACTTATATGAAAGAAGCTAAGCCAACACATATATATATATGGATGTAAATATCTAAAATGAATTTATTTATTTCCAGCCTGTGGCATATGACTTTTTTTTCCTGGCAGGTCAGTCTTTGCGTATATAGAGTGTTCTTATTGTCTACACTTGTCACCTGCACTCCATTAACTACACAGACTCTACCATTACATCAGTCGAATATCTTACTAGAGTTTATGCACAAGTTATTAATGCAATAATGATTTTTCAGAGTCACCTCTGTCTTTACTTAGAAAACATACTGTTGCACAAGTGATCATTGAAATGAAATGTCATTTGATAATACAATTATTTGTGCCCATATGCTATTAAGTGAATTAATGACCTAGGCATAATGTATGAGTCTACTGCTCTTCTATTTTCTACTTTTATTCTCTAAGTAAGAAGCTTGAAGTTTATATAAAATAGGATAAATCAGAAAATTCATGCTGTTGTCCATGAGTAAAATAAATCATAATAATTAAAATACCAAGGATTTAAATTTCATGTCTTTGAAACGATGCTGGTTTTTTCCATCCTCATTACAATTCCTCAAAAAGGAGAAAAGCATTGAAAAAAATGCATCTGGTAGGTGACACTGCAGTTGAAATAAATAAAAACTTACTTTTCAGGAGCAAGAAAACCAGTTACCCAAGGGGAATAGGAAAGTAAACATTAACAAAGTACATTTTACTTTAGGATCAAAGAAATTTAAAATATACATACACTTGTTTCCTAGGCAAGGAGGGACCAAGGGAAGGGAAATATGTCTTTAAAGTTCCCATCTGATAGTTATCTAAAAAATATTTTACCTTTCTTGGCAGGATTAGATCCCGATAAGCATCTTGGGAAAACCCTGGATCAAATGGAGCCTTATCTCTTAGAGGTAAGAATTTATGCTAGTTCTCAAAATATAGGTATCTAAAGGAGAAGAAAAAAGTATGATATAATCCTTTAAAACTGTTTTTATTTTAGACAAAATCAGATACATTTATATTTTCATTAAAAAATTAAACTAATGGATATGAAAATGTTTAAAATTATGAAAATTATTACCAGCTTGTTAACCCAAATACAAGAAAGTTATATCTAAAAGGAAATTGCTCTGTCAGAAAGTTACTTATATTAAAATGGACATAGTATGCTATATAAAAACTACTATACTTGTAAAGTATCTGATAGTGTCTGTAATTGGATGCTTTGCCATCAGAAACAAGAATAGAGACTTCCTTTAAGGATTGATCTAACCTCTTCTGTTTTACCAACTAGGAAATTAACTTGTAGATTATTATTTGTTTTCCTTTAGAGTAGGAGGACTAGATTAATTTGTAGATTAGTAAAGAAATTATCTCAAGAATTCAGGTGACCTTGTTTAACCCTTATCATTGTCAAATCCTAAATGTGTTCTAAACATTAAAGGGGTTCAGTTATTTTCATTTACTCTATTCTATTAATGGTATTATATTTTATTAGCATTTTGGAGCAAATGTTAAATTTATCATGGCAATTAACCATTAAATAGAATAGTGTAATTATTAAATGGAGTTTTTTTTATTCCACAATCATGATGGAAAAAAGAAAATCACTCTACTTCTGCGGAAAGATCTGAACTTTAGTAACTCATTATTTTCCTGCCCATGCTCTTAATTCATCAATATAGTCTCTGGATGTTGTTAATACCATTACTATGATATGAACTGTTAGCAGTTACACTCCTCAATAACTTTATGGGTTTCATATTTTCTTTTGGAGTTACTTCATAATTGATTATTTTATGGCTTATCAATAGGTACCAAAATGCCTACAAATCTCTAAAATGTTAATTCCTTCTTTCATTAAGCATTATTAAGTACCTAATATGTGCCAGACAGATAGTAAAAATTAAAAGAAAAGTGAAATGATTATATAATTGTGACAAATTATATTTGGTTTCTAGATAATTTGGTATCATTTATTTAACTCAATCTATGGGACATAGTTGCTTTCCATGCTTATCTAAAAGGACTCTTCTCACAGCAATTAGTTCTATGGCCTCCATTATATCTATATTCACAACTATTCACTGCCATCACTAAATTTAGCTTCTACTGAAACAATGCAGATAAATAATGAAGTCAAATTTATTGAAAAGTGAAAGAAATAGAATTTCAGAAATGAGAGACTGTGGCTTTGGCAAAAAGCTTTTGTTACCAAAAGAAAATCTGAAATTGTAAGTTCAGATTTCGAGAAGGTAGGTATTCTTTGTAGAAACAGTAAGTAAGGTTTTGGGGAGTTCCAAGGTATTGGTAATGAGTTATACTGTGTATTATCATAAAATGTTTAAAGACAAAATTGCAGAAATCATTTTATTCAACTTCAGCAAGTCCCTCAACATGGCCTGGCAATCTTATATTTTCCAAGAAGTATTTTCTACCCATTTGCCATGTCTGTTTCATTCCTTCTCTACTCTCCTCAAATTTTAAATCCCCTCACTTGGAGTGGATGACTTGTCTCCTTTTTCACAGAGAAAATAGAAGCCATGATACTGGAAATCCATCTGCCCCCAACCCAACCCCGGCACTGCCCCTACTAATTTACCTGTACCTATATCTATCCTTGCTTACTGTAACTGGGAGAACTGTCTTTCCTCCTGTGTACAGCTAAGCCCCTATCTATGCTTAGACACTATACCCGCCTGCCTTCTCAGAGGCCTTGCAATCAAGCCACTCCCTCCACTGTTGTCATCTTCCCTCTCTTTATTGTCTCTTCACATCAGCATGGAAATATACCGCAGCCTTTCCTATCCCAAAGATTCCTTCCTTCCAGCCTAGTTCTTTCTCCAGATTATTCTCTTTCTTCTTTACTGCAAAACCAAAAAATTTAGAAGTGTTATATGTATTAGTTGTCAGTACTTCTTCATGTCTGAGATGCCTTGTTTACCTGGAGTCTGGCTTCTCATTCCCCCTCTAAATGGATATAGCTCTGACCAAAATCACTCACGACATCCTTTTACCAAATCCAATAGATACTTCTGAGTCCTTATTTGCCAGTTACAAACTCCTTGAGATGCTTCTTCTATTAGCATTCATGATACTACACTTTCCTAGTTTTTCTCCTTTTGTTCTGGACACATCTATTCTTTCTTTTTTTTTTTATTTCAGCATATTGTGGGGGTACAAACGTTAAGGTTACGTACATTGCCCTTGTCTCTCCTCCCCCCTCAAGTCAGAGCTTCAAGTGTGTCCATCCCCTAGGCGGTGCGCATCGCAATCACTATGTATGTGTATACCCATACCCTCCTACCCCCTCCCACCTGCACGACACATGATAATTTTTTTTTTAACATTTTGGTTACATTTTATATCTTTGCCTCTCCCTAGCAAGGGTTAGAGGTATGCCCTTCCCCTCCACAATTCTCACCACATCCCTCAGATGTGGGTCTATCCCTCCAACCCCTGAATCCCTGGTGAACACCACCACCCTTTGAGCACCATAGTGTTAATCAGTCAGTACCAATTTGATGGTGAGTACATGTGGAGCCCATTATTCTGATCTTGTGTCACCTCACTTTGAATAATGGTCTTGAGCTTAATCCAGGATAATATAAGCAGTGCTAGCTTGCGGTCTTTTCTTAGAATTGAGTAATATTCCATTGTAAACATATACCAAATTTTAGTAATCCACTCATGAATTGACAGGCACTTGGGTTGTTTCCATGTCCTTGCAATACTGAATTGTGCTGCCATAAACATTCAGATGCAGATGTATTTATAATAGAATGTCTTATGCTGTTTTGGGTAGGTGCCTAATAATGCTATTGCTGGGTCAAGTGGTATTTCTACTTTTAGCTCTTTGAGGTATTTCTCCATCATTCTTTACAGATCTAGAAAAAATAATTCTTCACTTTGTATGGAACCAGAAGTAAACCTCGTATAGCCAAAGTAACACCTATTCTCTTTTGCCAGTTTGTAGTCTAGGCTTCATTTTCCCTGTAAAGACTTTTTCTGGGTGATCTCACTCATTCACATGGCTTTAATTACTGGTGTATTCTGACGACTCACAAATCTGTCTAGCCCATATTTCTCTGCTAAGCTCTAGTGCCCAAAAGCACTGCAAATTAAATCTCTATGTATTTGATGGTGGCCTTTATATCCATTGCTTTTTGTCATTCTCTTTGTCATCACCTTAATTCAGGTGCCTGTCACTTCAAGCCTAGAGTATTACTGATACCTCCAAATTTGCCTCTATCTTCTATTTTATTTCCTGAAAAATTCATTTTGCTTCCTGCCTAAAGATAATTGTTCTAAGATATTCTACTATAATTGTGTCAGTGACTCAAAATTTTAAGTGAGTCCCCATTGCCTACAGGCTAGAATCCAAATTCTTTAGACTCCTCTTTCCTTCACCTCCTATACCTAACCCAACAACATGATCTTATATGCTCTTTTTCCAGAATATATTCTTACTCCAAGCACTTCTCACCAACTCTATTGCTACCACCAGACTATAACCACTTCTTGTCTGGAATACTATACCAACCCCTAACTGGTCTGTTTACATCCACCATTGCCCTGCTGTGATCCATTATTTATACAGATGTCAGAATGATATTTTTAAAGTGTAAATCAAATCATATCACTACTTTGTTTAAAATTTAAATGGGTCCTCATTGCAATTATAATAGAAAAACATTCAAACTCCTATGAGATCACAACCTGTGAGACCCTGTATGATCAGCATCCTATCAATCTATTCAGGCTCATCTTTTACCAGTCTCTGTCTCATTCACTCAGCCATAGGCACATATACCTTTTTATTACTTAAACACACTTTATTCAGCCTTTTTGTCCTTGGGACTTTTTTTCTGCCTGAAATGCTTTTTTCTGCAGACTGTCACCTGGTTAACACCTTCTCATAATTTAAATGGCAGCTCAAATATCATCTCCTTAGAGAAGTTCTCCCTGACTACTCTAGCTAAAGCAGATTTCTCCAAACTATCTTGTTTATCTGTTGACATGTATATTGTCTGCCTCTCTCTGCCCCATGAGAATGTAAGCTTCAATAATCTTGCTAATTTTGGCAGACATTAATTCTTTAGTTTTTTCATTCAGTTGCTTGATAAAAATGTGTCCGTCCATTCATTCATCTCCTCTTTAAATTATTTAATACTTGTTGAGGGTCTGTTATGTATCCAGTGCTATAGTAAGCACTAAGTACACATGAATTAAACAAATAAGATAGTTGTTCTTGAGAAGTTTACTGTAGTTGTTTTCAGACCTGAGAGTGCAATTCACTGGGGACCTTGTTTAAAAAAGTGCATACACTTTTTCTTACCCCAGAAAACTTCAGTTCAAGAGGATCAGAGACCTAACCTTTAAACAAGCACTAGGTAATTCTCTCACAATGATAAAGTATGTAATATTCTAGTTTCTCGAAACCAATGACATATTTCAGGTCCTGTTTTTCTAGATTTATCTGAAAGAATATACGCCTTCTTGAAACTGTCATCTATTGGCTTCTATGATACTACTCACTCCTAAAACCTTTCTAAGTACTTTCTCAGCTTTCTTTTGGGGCTTTCTATATATATCCCACCCCTTATATGCTGTGGTTCCCTCCATAACCTTTCTTTTATGGTGATCTTAAATATCCCTATGACTTCAACTACAGATTTTATTCTTATAAGAATTACATCTGTTTCTCGGTCATTTTCCAGTACTCCAGACATGTATTCAACTGCCAACCAAACACCTTCATCTCTTAAGTGTGCCCCAGCACCTCAACTTCAACTATGCGGAACTAAACATTTCTTCCCTAACATATCTGTGTCATTTTTGTTTGCTGACAGTGAAGGGCCCCATTGTCTACTCAGTTGTCCAAGCCAAAAAGTGAATTATAATAAAAGAC